TCTATCATGTGTTGCAAAAAGAGGGATAGAAATGGATCAAATTTATGTACATCTGTGTGTGTGCATGCATCTGTAAGTAATTACTGAGAATACAGACACTTTAATTTGTATAAGTGAAGAGGTATTTATACACAGGCTTGTTTTCTACTCATACATTTGTAAATTAACTGTACACAGCAGGCATGTTTTCTCTACTGATTAAGTGAAAAGCAGAAACATGGTAATGTTCTTAACAGCACTTAAACACATCAAATATTTTTGACAAACTTTTTCCATTAGCTGGAATGTTAAAGTCAGAAGAAAAGGAAGAGTAAACACTCCTTTTATCATAGGACTTCCGTGACCTATATTGCAGCAGTACATGAGATGTGTTTGAAATAACTTGCAAGATGATCAGTTTCACAGAAAACTGGGTTGTCAGAGGCAAAGATTAGACAGGGACAAAAAAATAGACAACTGAGAAAATGAGTTTGGAAGCCTGCTACAGTCATCTTCATGGTCCTGTGCTACTACAACTGCTTTTCAATGTTTTCCTGCAAACAGGGTATTGGTGGTGCCATAAAAATAATGCTCACCTCTTGAACAATGCTTTAGAATCTGAAGATAAATATTTAGGTCAACAATTTGGAACAAAAATTCTCGTTTGATCACTGATAGGCTATTTTTGCTCTAAAATGCAATCACTCAGTTCTTTAAATGCCAGTATTTCTGTAAACAATTGCTTTTCTTTCTCATTCAGGCAAGGATATAGCGTATTTGCAAGGACTGTCAATATCTATTATACTGTCATTCATCCACTGCTGATTCATCCAGTAGGTAATCATAATTTACCAATAGAAAGATTTTCTTGATAATGCCTTTATACCCACAGCTAGTAAGAAACTCTGAGTTCTGACAATATTTTTGAAGAGGGTCTGTCCCCTTGTGGCTGCAGAGCACCACCCCAATTCTCAAGGTTCATTGAGAAAGCAAAACTGCAATTTTTTTAAGAGTCAGAAATGGTGGCTTTTTAGCTGCCCCCTTCACAGGTATTTGCTGAAGGAGGACATGTTGAGCCATTTTTCTAGAAATCTGGCAGAGATTTTCTAAAGTTTAGCCACTCTGACCATATAGAAAATTCCTAACTAGGAATTCTGGTCTAACTTTGAAATATATTGACTGCTAACACATAGTGCCCAGTCTGTGACAGTTCTCAGCATCTGCAGGTAACAGTGTTGTGTTTGCCTATATAAACAGTCTGACATTACTCAAACAAATACTTGCTGAGACAATGCTCTTGTATCAGAGTCTTCTTGGGAAAAAAAAGTATCAAGAACTTGTGTGATTCTGCTCATAAAAATAGGGTAAGCATTGTGTTGTTATTTTTAAGGACTCACACATCATAAAAGGTTTTGTGAAAATACAGCAACCTCCTAAGTCTTTATAATCAAGACTTGATTCTAAGACTTAAAGGAAACTATTATCATCTGGAATTCACTGATGGTACATTCATGAAAAATTTCAAATGAGTTCTTAATTAGGTCTAGATTATGTTTCCTCTGCATGTAGGACTTCATATCGTTAATCTTGCATCAGCAATCACCACTGTCTCAGTGATGGCTCCTCATTACAACATTTGCCATTTTCAATTCTTGAAAGCAAATAGCTATTCTTTCATCTTAATTTAATAGTGCTTCATGAATTTTAATTAAACCCTTCCATGAGTTCATATGGTGTTGGTCATTATGAGGCTACTGCACACAAACTATAGTTTTCCTACTAAGTCTCATCCATTGGCCAACAAGGTCAATTGCTTCTCATTACGAATAATAAATGGCAATTCTAGGATAAAAGTACATATGAAAGACTGTGCAAATTCTGCTCTCCTTCCATTGCCTTTCTATGATTTGCATAAAGGAACATTTCATACTTGACTCAAGCAATTTTTTCATGGACAGTTAATGTTAAAAAAAATTTCAAGATTAATTTTCCTGTGACATTTGTTTTCATACTGTCCTTTATTCAGGTAGAATTCTTTACAGTGGCCCAAAGACCAAGGGTGAAATAGCATGTGGAGTATTTAAAAAGAAGATTGCATTTTTCTTTTCTCCCTGCAAAAGGAAGCAAACAAAAGACAAAATGACACATGCTTCGTAGATGTGGGCACATTGCTGCTGAACATATGCACTTGCTTTCATCATTAAGTGTTTCCAGGAGCTGGCATTCATTAGTACAAGAGCTACAAGGAACAAATCAGAATGTCTACATTTCTAGCTACCAGTGCCGTCCAGTGATTCCAGTGTTTTTTACAGAAGTTTGATTTGACTATGTAATTGAGTGTACTCACATCAGCTTACATACAAAAATCCTGGAACAGTAGGGGAAACTACAAACTGAACAGGAGTCAGATGTTCAACACACCAAGAGAGAGATGTTGCAGCTATGCCAGGTAACACAGCTGTACAAGGGCAGTAATTCCTTAAATTTTTTTTCCCATATACTGTATGACACTGCACACTATGCAACTGTGAGTCTCCTCAAACCTTCATGGACATTCAGGCAATGTAAGTAAGTGTGCAATGTAGAAACACACACACATATATAAAAATGTATATTTTTTTGTATGCACATCTGTATGCAAAGATGTTCACGTGTGTAAATATATGACCCACTGCCCGAAGGGTAATTATGCTAGCTCAAACCTACATATAATATGAAGGAATGCAAGATTTGGGTTCTAATCTGATTACCATAATTTATTCATCTGTCTTCTGAGGGTGTGATCAGATGAGATTTTTGGATCTAATTTTCCCTTGAGATTTTTATGCAAGAAAAGACAGAGATGACCACCCAAACTCTGACATTGAATGTTGTCTCTTAAAGTTGTTAAGCATTGGTTTCTTTTTTCATGCTTTTTACCAAGTTACCATTTAAAAGTACACAAAGCTAAAGTATCAAACTCATCCATAAAGTATCTTCCTCAAATTTCCAAGAAAGGAAGTGGTACCTTTTTGCCAGTGAAGAAGTGTGAGGAGAGAGATGATTCAAAGCAGTATTTCATGTATCCTTAACATAAAATTCCCAGATTTTGAATTGCTCATAATGGTGATACTCCGCCTCTTCATTTCCTCTGCAAAACTTCCTTCCTTCTGCGACCTTTTCTAACTCACACTCCAGTATTTTATCTGCACAGTAGTCTTCACACATTCAATAGAGACTAATGTTGTAAACTTCTCACTTTCCACTGTAAGGAATTAGGAAGCTAGGATGTACATGTCGTACAATGGAAATATTTATAGAAATAACTGTTTATTCATGAAAACATAGAATTTCTAATCTGGCCCAAAATACTCCTCCATCTTTGGAGATGAATAGCAAGACAAAAAAAGTTTTACATAATGAGAAATTGGCTTATAGTTATAAACCTCTATTTACAGAGGTTTAAACATGGTGCAGGTGCAACAGAGATGCTAATCACCAATGAACTTTAAAAAAAATACAAATTTACTTTGAGCTTTTGTGGTTTTGAACTGAATGGAAACACTGCTTAAAGTATTCAAGCAAGAGAACTGTCCCCAAATGCTGGATGAAACGCAAAAGAGAGTTTCTCATTCCTCTGAACTCCAAACAGCCCGACACTCGGGGGTCGTGCTCTGGACCTTCATTCCACGAAGGTGGCTGAAGTTTGCTTGTGCCTAGCGCTAAGGTCACAGCGGGTCCTGGGCTCCATCGGACAGCGTGGGATTCCCTTTGGAACAGCGAGATGTGCCGTGGGCCTCGGACCAGGCAGAGCACGGCGATACCGCGTCTCTGTTGCGGGTGTGTGACTTTGAGTCTAAAACTCCAGGTCCCTATGGCTATCCCTCCCGCCACCCCTTGGGCAACAGATTTATCAGGATCCCAGTAAACCCAGCTATAGGAGGAAGTCCCCGGCCCAGGGCAGCCTGGCCCGGGAGGGCAGGGCAGTCTGGTAGGTAAGTTGCCACTGCTCTCCTCGCAGAGGCCGCGGCCGGACGCAGCTCCCAGTGGCCCAGAGCCACTCGCATCCTTTTCTCAGCTGGAACCCCGCGGGGCTAACGGAGCCCCATCCTTCCTTCGCCCCCGGGGTCCCTGCCCTGTCCTTCCCTGCCCGCCTCCGCCGGCGGGAGCTCTCTCCCGCTGCTCCTTCCTGGTTGCCGGCGGCTGCCAAGGCAGGCGGGCGGGCGGGCGGCGGGGCGCGGCTGTCGGGCGCACCTCCCGCGCAGGTACCGGGGACCGCCACCGGGCTTCCAAGGGGAGGGCTGGGGTCAGGAAGGGGCAAGGCTACAAGGCGCACAGCGCCGACACCGAGCGGAGACAGCTCCCGGCTCGCCCCCCGGAGGAGGCGCGGCTGTGTGGCGGCGGGAGGGACCCAGGAGCGCTCCTGAACGCGGAGCGGAGGTTCCCTCCTTCCTGCTCCATCTCTGCCTCTCCCCTCACCTGGCCGCCGCTCCCGGTGGGAGGCGGGTGTGTGTGCGCGCCATCCCATCGCACCTGGGCTGCCCCCGCCCGCTGCATGCAGCCCCTGGAGCGCCGCAGCCCAGGAGGATACGCTGGGTGCGTTGTGATTAACTAATTTTATTTAATTATTACAATTATTATTTTTAGAGGTTTTTCTTTTCTTCTCTCCGGGTGGCTTCGCGGAGGGGAGGAGAGAGGGGCAGCCGGGACCTCCCCACCACCGGCGGCTCCGGGCTGTGCCCGCCCCGCACGCTGCGCTCCGCTCCGCCGTGTTTGTTGTTGTTGTGCTCCGGGGAGGGAGGCGGCAGAGCGAGCAGCTCCCCCAGGGCGGCGGAGGGCGGGCAGCCTTTCGCCTTGTTCCTCTTCCTCTTCGCCGCGGGAGCCCGCGTCCCGTGCTGCTCGGCGGGGCAGCCGAGGGGCTCGGCGGAGGACGTGCGGCGCTGCGGGACACCTGGGCAGGTGGCAGCGCGGGCAGCGGTAGGTGGCCCCGGGCTCCCTCGGGGAGGGATCCCGCCCGCGGGACAGGTGCCTGAGGAGCGGGCGAGCGGAGCTGGGGAGGGCAGGCGCTGCTGCCCGGCCCCCGCAGGTGTCGGCGAGGGGCGCGGGGCTCCCCCTCCGTCGGGGCGGCCGTGCCTTACATAAGCGGGCGGGAGGACGGGGAGTCCGTGCCGTGCCTTCCGGTTTCACATCGCCGCCGTGCCCGGAGCCTTACACCGAAACGGACAGCTTCTCCTTTTTTTTGTTTTGTTTTGTTTTGTTCATTTTTCCCCCCACTTCACGGGGCCACGGCGCAGGACAGGGGCTGGCGGAGAGCTGAGGAGCGGGGCAGGCGCTGTCCTCGCCGCTGGCCCCTGCGCGGCTCTCGCCGGGATTTCCTTAAGTTTCCGTGGGGAAGGCGCGCACGGGGCTGCGGCCACTCCGAGGTGCCGCTGGGACGCTCCTGTCCAGCGCCCCGGCACCTTCTCCGCCCTGACCGGCTGGGCTCGGCTCGGAGTTGCCGTGCTTCTGATGTGTGCCAGGCTGTGCCAGGGCTGGGCGCTCGCTGGGGAGGCTTGGAGGTGTTTGAGGTAACTGTCTCCGTGTGGGATGAGCTGTGGCCGTAGCAAAGGCTGTACTTCTAGTGCCTTTGTACGCTTGTGGGGACTTTTTAAAAAATTGCTGCATGGTTTGCCTTGGGAAGAATGTAAACATGCAATTTTGTAATTTTAAGTAGGTCCATCCTGATAGCATTTCCTGTGTGCACTGCCTTTGCTCTTCAGTATATCAGATGCTGTGTTTGGAATAAAGTTGATGGAGATACTATGAAGACACTGGGAAAATAATGAATTCTTGCAGAGAAACTGAAGTTTTTCCCCTCTTCAGTGGAAGCAGAATTGAGTCTTAGGTGATTAGGAGTGATAGCATGTATATTGCACTGGTTTATTTCTATTATATCCACTAATCATTTTTAATGAGCTGAGACTAATATAATTTTGTTGGCGTGGAGTACTGCCAGTTAACAGATACAAACAAGTTAACCTGTAGATTGTGGGTGGTTGTGTATAAAGGCTTGAAACACCTGGCTGGAAGGATGATGAAGTGCTCCCTGTCAGTCAAGGTAAATAATAACAGAGTAAGAGAATAGTCTTGGTTTATGTTAATGATTTGATTACTCTTGGCAGTCAAGTAGGAAACAGTTCTCTAAAATCTTTAAATAGTCTTAGGGCAGTTAGTAGTTACTGGTATGAGTCCATCAAAGCTCTTGAGCATCATGGATTGTGGGTTACATCGGCTCTGTCATGGATTGCATTCTGGATCATTCTAAAGAGCACCAATGAGAGCATTTCCAATGCCATAACAGGTTATACCCAAGTTTCTACTGGTAAGAGCCTAGAGAGGACCTTTGGAAAGGAAAAGCTTGCATTGATGCTTCCCTAGAATATTCTCTCCAGGCAGCTGTGGCTAAGCCACTCCCACGGGCAGAAGTGTCGCCTTTGTTCTTGACCAGCACAAAATTTGTTGTTCCTTCTTTGATTCTATACAGTAGTTTTTTCAGTCTCTGAGGAAATAGGTAACCAGATGAAACATTCTACAGACATTATTAATCACTGATAAGATGGTCAGAGGGCAAGTTCTTGTTTACAAAGGCCCATGGCACAGGAGTTATATTGAGGGATATTAATTTTCCAAGTGCTGTTCATGCATTAGGCTCTGAGATAATACATTTAAAATAAAGCTTGATATTTGTAATGAAAAGAAAAAGGCGAAGCATGGTGTCTTAATGAAATGGATTCAAATTATTTTTCACTGAGTTGGGAGAAAGCCATGAATACAATGTATAGTCAGCTTCACTGAATTTGTAAGTAGAGAATTAAGAACAGAAATTGAGTTTATGCCATTCCGTATAGCTGAATAATATTCACAGACTTTCAAAGCTCCTGTTCTATCATAATAGTTAATATAAGTAATGTAGTGAATGTTACAGTCGCTATTGGGGTGATAAATTTCAGCTCACCGCAGACTCTTAATGACAGAAATTGGAGCATGTTAATTAAAAATAGTTTCATACTTATAATTGTTTAATTTTGTGCATTTATGAAAAATTACATGACAGAATTGTTCTTACATTGGGATTTGTTTCTCATTATGCCAGCTCCCATATGACACCTAGAGCCTTACAACCTTGTTAAAGACAAGCTTGTCAGAATTCTGGAAATAATAAACTCAGAGTATCCTGCACATGCAGGGGAGGATTATATCTGTTTTCAAGAACAGATATACAGAGAACAACCGAGATGACACTGGTCACTCCATTAATCAACAGCATAAGTGGGACATGCTTCCAGTTGTTTTCAGTTCTGAAAGTTTGAGAAGATGAGTACTTGTGGTGTGTTACATTACATGTGAAGGTCCATGGAGTGGTAATGGTGGGATGAGGCAGGAGAGCAACCTGAGTGAGTGTCCCTGCTGTTGTGTATCCAAAAATTTCTTGTTTGTTCTTTTTGTTAGGGTTTATTCAGTACTTGATATAAATTACCTATATGGTTGAAGTAGCCACATTGGTTATTTATTCCATCAAATTTAGGCTCTAACTGCTCTGCTACATGATTTTTGTGACAGAAGAAATGCATTATAAACTGTTGAGAGAAGGCCAAATAAGCTGAAATATGCATCTCATGCTTACTTGAAGCATAAGAAGTCATTCAGTGTTAAAACGCTACTGTTTCCTGTTAGACTCTTACCTGTCAAAAGGGAGAGTTGTGAAAATACATTGGTGCTCATATATTAGAACCTGGGCCACTTGGCTCAAACTTTTACTTACCAGAACTAAATTAATTTAATTTACATGAGAACATAACAATTTTTGACAGTCACTATTGTTACTGGACTAATGTCAATGAAATCTAGTACTGTTTGGTTAAAACACTTAAAGCATAACTAGTGTTTAATGAGGAGAAGGCTGGAAGGTTTGCAGTCTAAGACTCTTGCATACAGGTTTCAAGTGTAAATTCTGCCACAGATTAAAGCACAGCAGAGACTTCTGGATCATTGTTAAAGTGCTCTGTCCTGTGGTATTTAACTACCTGAATAATTTTTCTTTCAGGCAAGACGTCAGGTTGAAACTTATCTGTGTTTCCTGAGGTGAGGCTCTTAAATAAAGGACAGCAGTGATGAAGAGCAGCTGGTCAGAAACTGCTGTTTTAAACACAGACAGCTGATAATCTTTTATAAAACAGGAATTTTTCTGGAGTCTTTAAAATACCCAGTTAAAGACAGAAAGGTGTCCAGAATTGTTAGACACGTCGAAGAAAAAAATCAGTGGCACATAGTAATGTCTGAAGAAGCCTGGATTTATATGTGTTAAAAAGTTATCAGCCAATGGAAGAAGAATTAGAAAAAGGGTATATGCTTTAGAGCTTGACTGCTCAAATCACTTGTGCAACTGGAATTTCAGACAGATAACTCTAGGCTCCAGTACTTTATTTGCCTATTTCTTGTGTCAATATCCATTTTCCAGGGTGTCCAGCCTTCTGCACAGAGTGCTTGATTTGGACCTAATGAAATTATCGATACAAAATGAACAGGTTCGTCTGAGAGACCAATCCAGTTGCCCAAGGCAGAGGATGGCTGCAGTGGAGATGGCATTGGAGCTGTGTTACTGTAGCCTTCAGTCCTAGTTCTGGCTCTGGCTGTGTGGGTCATTCTGCAGGCAGGTTGTTCTCAGCCCGAGGAGACAACTTGTGAGTGCTGCATTCGAGCAGGAGGAGCACAATATGCTGGTGCTGACTGAGCCCTGAGTTAAGGTGCCACAATTGAAACGCAGTTCTCTAAAGGTTTTGCCAACGTGAGAATTTAGACAAAATAGCTATGCTAAGCTGTGGTTGGAAAGAGTTGAACAAAACTTCATTGATGGCTTTCCCCTAGGGAGACAGTGATAGTGCCTAATCTTATGTATTCAGTGGCAGTGAATGAAGGCTTTGTCACAATCAGTTTAAGATTTTCTTTACTTAATAATTTCATTCAGATGACTATGGATTTTCTATGTTCATTTCTCTGGTTATTTTCCTGTGTTAGTAGCACATGAAGAAATACTTTCTTCAGTCTAATCACCACTCATACCAAACATTTTCCTATTTGAATCCTTGTGTCATGTGAACTTTTTGATGTAGTATTAAATAATTTCTGATGTTATGTTTATGATTAACAATCTTACTAACTTCTCTAAAGATGAAACTGTACTCATGTTTTCTTGCTTTGCCAGCTGTTTTTGGGGTTTTGGGATTTTTTAAAACACTTTTTCTAGATATGGCTTTTAAAAACATATTTTCTAGATGTTTGGGAAGCATATCAGTCACTTTTATCAATTTTCTACACCTCATCTTCTTGAGACATTTCCAGAGACTGACCCTTCTGTAAAAGGTTGATCATCCTGGGTTTAACTTTTTCTTGTAGAGACTGACACACAGCTTACTACTATTTTCTTTAAAGGATTCAGGATCTATTATGAACATTTATTAGTAGCTAAAGAATTTCTAAATAGCAGACACTTAAACAGTTCCTGACAACGGTATTCAGATTTTAACATTTTTGGGCTTTCATATTCTGAAAGAAGCTTTATGCTTCTCAAAATGCTCTGTTAAAAATAAGTGGAGAACTCTGGTTAATATAGAGTGAGATAATTCCTATGAGGCTTCTTGCATCAGTTGCAGTAACTGTGAAATCCCAGTTCTGTTGCTTGGAATAGCTGTAGATCTTGGACATAACCCAGGAAAGCCCACACAAAAGGCACGTGAGAGAAAAACAAAAAGTAACATGGACATTTTCAGGCTTTTTTTTTCTTCTGTCCTGAAGTGATTTTGAAATAGCTCACTGAGGAAATTAGTTTTCTAAATATGTACATAAATATTCCTTTTTGTTTTACTTCCCCCCCCCCGGAGCTTTTGGAAGCCCTTTCAAAGGGGAGAAACAAGGAAATTAATAAATCTGAAAAGACTGACCAAGTCAGAACTTTTTTTTTTTTTTAATAAATATACAATGAAGGTAAAATAGCAGGTTTTATATTAATTTTTCTTAAAATTTGACCAATTTTTGATCAACATATCAGCTGTACTAGGTTTGTTTGGCATGTTGGAAGGAAAGATGTTTCTTAAACCTGACTTTTTTGGATTTTGTTTCAACACTTGTAAAAATCCTTAGTGTGTGTAATTGAAATTCTTAGTATTTATTTTTTTAAACACTTGAGAAAGCTTAAACATTTGGAAATGTTTAAATTCAGGTCTCTCCAGGTTGGTGAAGCTAACAACTGTGGGGATCTAGTGTCTAACTCTTATGAAGGTGAGAGGGAAAGCAAAATCAAATACAAACCAAGTTTTCTTTCTAAAATAATTCAGGCATGTCGTGTGTTTTTAATATGTTTACCTGGTGCATTATCTTTGGCTTCTGCTAAAGAGTTGAAATTGGTTTGGATCACAAGTGAAAATCTGTTCTTAGCTTGCTTCTTACTTGTAAGTCACAAAATTCAGGTGAAACGATGCAGTTGGACAATTCATAGCTATCCTTGGAATTCAGATACTTATAGGAGGCTTTG